AATAGAGTCAATTAGCCCCGACCATAAATGAAAGTCGTCGCTCATATAGAGAATTAAAGGAAGTACAGTGTGTGGATTCTATCAGGGGTACATCGGACCATCGTAGCATTATCTTATTATCTTACTAGTTCTGAGTAGGGAATAAGGCATAAATATTATATAGGGTTGTATACGGATTATATTCCCTTATCCCCTACTATCCCTACATAAACCCGATATAACGCATTTCTTTGCTCCCTACTAAGAATCAGGAAGTTATGTGAGCATAGGTGCGGTGCGGAGCAAGATAGAGTGACCCTGATTGCCAAGCCACCCAGCCAATCTAAGTGGAATCTTGAAGATATATTATGGATATATAGGACCATATAGGATTTAGGATTCCGGGCTGAGGGTATCATAATATGGGTATGATAAGCAATGGGATTTCCTTCTTATAGGCATTGCGAACTCAATTTAAGTTCCGTAACAGCAGCCCAGACAATTGCAACATTGTGTGGCATCCTTGCCAAAAAGTCCCAGAGTCCCAAAACCTAGAGTCCTGGGCCTAAATCCTATATAATATGTAGTAGTTGCCATTTTCTTTTCCATTATTCCAGAAAGTTCCACAGGCAAGAGTACTGGGAGATGCCGACAAAGTCCTCAAGGAGGAAGCAGCAGGAGAACAGGCTGAGAATGCTGTCGAGCACGGAGAGGCCAGCTCATATTAGAATACTATAGTACTATAGTACTATATTCCTATAAATAGTATACGAGTAGAATACTAGAATAGTATACTACTAGAATACTGTGATACTATAATACTGCAACGCTATACTACTATAATACTGTTATACTGTACTACTATAATACTATAATGATTTTCGCGGCTTACCTGCAAAGGCTTAGGGCTTCATCTTTACTTGCGCGGGACTACATCATGAATTGATGTAGTGGGCACTGCATTGTCAGGCTCCTGCGAAGAAAGGCGGGCACCTCGCGAGGCCACATGTTGGTTTCTAAGCTGTCCCCTTTGGCAGGTGCAAGTCTCCTCGTGACTCAGTTCAGGCTGGGGCAAACGTACGAAGATGTGGGAGTTTCACAGCGTACTCCGCTGCAACTTTTCAAGAGGAGGTTTACATACGCACGGATTAAGGTAGGCCCATGCTAAGAAACGCCCATGTGCTGAGCTGCTGTACGCCCTACTGTTTTCAGCAGGGTTTTCTCAAGATTACAAGGCCTTCATCGGATGTGTTTACAACAGAGGTCCTCTTGTTGAGGGTGCTGTGGCATCAAATGGAAAATCGGATTCTGACAGATATAAAACTACAGTAAGCACCAGCGCGGTGTGGTTGTCATCCAGCCCTTTCTTCAGAAAGAGCCGATCGCGAACAAGGAGGAAGATGGAGCAGGTCTTCTTGTCCGCGGCTTACGTGCGGAGTTCTCGAAATGGGGCTCCACGCCCTGGCAGTATCAGAACAGGTCTTGGAGTCCAGCCAAGAATCAACAGAAGACTCATGCAAGTGCGCGTTCCCATTGTCACGCTGAGGCCGCCAGCAGCTGGACCCAAGCATGACAGTACGTGAAGGCTTCACTGAAACGGTTCAGACTTCAGAAAAGAACGCCCAAGCCAGAAGGCGACCAAAAATGGGCCGTACCCCAGAGGCGGCGTGCCGGACAAAATAGGCTGTCTGCTGCGTGCTGTGCGTACTCTATTTCAGTAGACATGTTGATTTGACTCAATAGAGCCCGCGCATGGTGCCGACGCAAGTCCGGATCCATTGCAGAATCCCAGAACGGGTATCTCACGAAACTGGTGCCAATCCACTCCCAGACAGGCACCTGTCATTATGAGGAGGCCGAATGCAGTCCCAAAATGTCCCAATCATATTCCTGTAAAATGCCTTCAGCGCTTTGCGTTTCAAGCGTGTAGTCTCGGAACCTGAGCTGAATGTCCCCTCCAGCAGTCTCATGGAAAATTAAGTGGAAAAGAAAGTGGCAAATTACATGGAAACTTTTCTTGAGGGTTTAGAGGATAATCTAAACATAATATATATGTATATGTATACCTATATACATATTCTAAATGTAGTTGCTTCCCCTAATGATAAACATCTCCCCACCTCCCCTCCCTAATTAAACACCAGGCACCCTATTCAATTACGTAGAGAAAGTTCGAAACTTAACTTCAACCTGACCAAAACCAATTGAAATAAAATTTGGCTACGATTAGAATCACTTCCAATCTGTTTAGCAATCTAGCTAACCTGTGATTGAAATCCGTTGAAATCTAATTACCATCTTAAGTAAAGTCGAAATCTAATTAACAGGCAATTTAGACCAGTTGAAATCGAAATTCAAATATAGCTAGAATTGGCAAAGCATCGCCATAGAACAGATGAAATCTATTTGAAATCAACGAAAACCAGCTTAAACCATAGGGTCGTGTTTAGATGTTATTTACGATCCGTTATAAACACGATTTAAACACACTGAAAACGCCACAAATCCACGGATCCCTGATTTTCTGGATTCCCTACTATCACGCCCCTAGAAAATGCTCAGAACTCCCCCCCAATTCATTATTGCGGGGATCGGCATGTTTTGAATTGGGGATTCTAGGAGGAAAATTCATGTTTGGGGGGCGGGGAGGGGGGGAGGGGGGGGGCGGGGCGTTATTACATGTCATTATCAAGATGGAAGCGATTCTACGCTTTTGATGCAGTTATAAGGTTATATTCCCCCTTAAGTAGATAGAATATGGCTTTGGGGATATTATAATAAGATCCCATATACCCCATATTCTATCTACTTAATTAAGGGGGACTGTAACCCCAATATATACCCTATTATAATGTAGTAGTTTCCATGTTCTTTTCCATTATCCCTATATAAGCCCAACAATATATCCTATATTCTAGCTACCTATGTATAAGGGCATATATAAGCCAGGACCGACAGCGTCTGCTGAACCACCTGCGATCGGAGGCAGGGAGCAACGCTTCGTCTGGAGCACACTCCCCTTTAATGAAGGGTTTAGGGTTAAGGATTCAGGGTTTACGGTTGTCTGTTCAAGGTTTAGGATTTAGGGCTATTCCGAAAATAGCGGACAAGCACATGGAAAATTACGTGGATAAGAATGAAGTGGAAACTGGGCCTGCATAGGGATAGTAGAGTAGTGAGACCGTAATCAACCCTTGAAAAGGGATATATAGGGGAATGGACAGAAAATACAAGCTATCATATTGCTGAGGTTTTGAGGTTTAGGTCTAATAGTTATTTCCGGGTTACCTCTCCCTCAGCCAACTAAGAAGTACGCCCCCCATGTAGCTCCAGTACACATACGGGGGAATATTCATTCTTAGGGGGGTGGAGGGAGTTATGACTAGGGGGAAGGGGGTCCACGGTTATAGAGTCCGTGGCGGTGATGGCCGCAGTAATACTTGTAGTCCGATAGTAGTACTTGCGGCTTCATGGGCGATTGTGACTATAAGTGGGTTAACATTTAGGCTAGAAGTGGAGGCCTTTTGCTTCGTATCCCACTCGCAGCTACCCATAGCCTCCAAGTAGGAAGCCTTGGCTACGCAGCCTGTGGTACGCATGATCCGCAGTGCTCACTACCCCGGCAAGGCATACGCTGAGCTCTTCGCTTCACCCATTGCCGGAGTTGGAGTGCGAGCATTTAGGTTGGATGCACAGTTTTCATTGTGTTCACGTGGAATCAGTTGATAAGCGGTCTCTCTCTCTCTCGCTCTTTGACAACCCTGTCCCCCTCGTCTCTAATTAGCCAGCTTTGGCCAGCATATTTGCAATAGAAATGTTCGGTGTCGGACCAAGGCAGATTCCAGAGGGCGTTGATCCCTTTCCCATCTGCAACCCGCACATGGCGGCCAAGGATGCTGCAGACAGAGATGTTTTAGGTCAGTTTCTTGCCCCGTTCTCGCTGTGTGCCCTGGGGTGGATTCCACGTCAACTCCGCCGAAAAATTGAATAATCAAGTAGCGCTCAGATTCCGACGAGTAAATCGCAAACATCAACAACTTGGGCAGGGGCATCTTGGAGTTTGGGGTTTTAGTGTTTTTTAGAGTTAACGCTTGATGGTGCTCTTCTGTGGATGCATAACACTACAGATGGCCAGACGTTAAGAACGGGGCCATGCTTGCCATCCGAGCGCCTCGTCCTATGGCGATTGCGCGTTTCTGTCGTTGCGCTTCCACTGTCGAGGCACAGAGCAGGCCAGATTCACTAAATCCATGGCAATGTGCCTGTGGTATGCATGCGATTGTGGTACTTAGGTAGCTTAACTTTGCAATGAGCAGCATTCTCAACAGTCTCATACTTGTCAAAAAAAACGCTTTGGGGTGCGTTTTGTGGCACTTCTGTTCAATGTGTCGTGTTTTTCGTGTTTGTGTTGCTGTTGCTGCTGTGGTGGCGGTGGTGGCAGTGGCGGCGGCGGTGGTGGTGGCGGCGTGGGGCTGGGGTGTGGGGCGTGTTTCCGGTGTTCAGGTCTAGCCGCGGTGTGTGCCTCCTTTCAACTATGCTTGGTACGCAGCGCAATGGACATGTGTACGAGCGGTGCGAAACTTTGGCAGGAAAGCAATGCATCACGAGGCCCGCTTGGAGAACGAGATGTTGCGCGCAAAGCTTGGGGTCTCTCAGTTTGAAAGGGCATGTTTTTCAGCTTGAACATTGTTTGTGTGAATTGGCTAGCATTGCTCGGCCTTAGCAGTGGGAGGGGGGTAGTATTTTTCTTGTTGGGAAATAGTGGAGTTGAACTAGGGGCGTAGCCACAAGTATAAGTTGAGGTGAAGGACCAGGGCCAGAAGAGAGTATCCAAATGGGATGCTGCTAATGTAGAAAAGGATCAACGACAGCCAGGGCATTCAAAGAGCAAGTCATGTCATGCATCCAGGAACTGAAAAGCAGCGAGCAGATTCTCCCTGTCCTGGAAGCTGCCCAACGAGCTCGGAGCTTTGAGTTTGCTAAGGCAATGCAGGTCTGCGGGGAGCTGCGCGATTTGCCCAGTTTGCTGAAAGTCTGGCATCTCTCGCGAACGAGGAAGATCGGCCTCAGCTTGACAGCGTATTCTATCTTGCTGGAAGCTTTTGCAAAAAGTGTCGGAAGACAACAGCGAGACATTCGACGGATTGGTCTGGAGGCCGGCAAGAGAGCATGGCAGTGGATGCTGCACGAGAAGCACAAAGCAGATGCTAACACGCAATCAGGATGCTTTTGATGTTTTGACCCGCTCATGCCATCTCATGCGCACACCATTGCGCACCTCTGAATTTCCCATTTGGCTTTTGTTTTCATGCCCAAAATTGACAAGTCTCCATGTCGCACTTTCTCGCAAGAATGTCTCCGGAAATGGTCTTCTGCTCGCAGCTAAACAGATGCATGTGCGCATCTTTGCGCCTGGCTGTTTCAGTGTGTGTAGCTAGGGTGAAGAGGCCGTACGTGTGGTATTAATGAGCAGCAGGAATGATGAAGTCCATGGCGTGACTTTCTCGATCTCTGTGCACATGCCAGGACACGACTGCATTCAAAGCTGCGCTGCATCTCTGTGCGAAAGCTGGCGACGTAGCTTGGGCAAAGCAACTCTGGACGGCGGTACCTGACGCCGACACCGCTGTGTGGAATCGATATTTGGAGACGCTCGCGCGACATTCTGGTCCGCAGGGATGGAGAGCTGTAGAGCAAGAGCTTTCTGATTCAAAGCTGAAGCCAAACACGATCACACTATCTGTGCTTATGGATGCTGCCGCAGAACAGTACAACGTTCAGAAAGCCGATCAGATCTGGGATGAGCTCTCTACGCGTGTGGGAGTGAACGCAATCTCTTTTGCAACACGATCCAAAAGCCTGCTGCTTGGCTCACAGCATGAACGTGTGCCGGCTCTCCGCGACGACATGCAGAAGCAATCGATTACGCCTCTCTGTCGTAACCTCTTGCACGAGGTCCAGGCTTTGCTCCTGCTCATGCATGAGCAGCCACACGATCATTCGCGCTTTGAGCGTTTGCAAGAGGCGAGCGACCTGGCCATCTCGGGGGAATCCAAGGCCACAGGCAGGGAGGCGAGACAGCTCGAACAGATGCGAAACGTTGCAGGCAGCATCTGCCAGGGCCGAAAGACAGAGCCTCGGAACCCAAAGTGCAATTTTCTTCGTTTCGTGTAGCTTTCAGAATTATGACATAGACGCGTTGAGCACATGTGTGCGCGGAGGGCAGTCGCTGAAGAAGTTAGCACATAAGTTTGTAGCTACTATCCCTCACTTTCCCATCATGCCCATAGTTTTGCCTGCTGCTAGTCAAGGCTCTGCAGCAAGTCCGTGTTCTGGCCTTCCCATGGCAAAAGGAAGGAAACGCCAATGCTAGCGCGGACGAAAATGCTGGGAAGCGCATCTTCATTCTTAGTAGGGTTCTACAACAACAATGCTGCAGATCCAGCGCTTGCACAGGAGAGATTCTGCATATGTTCTCACGCTGAGCTTCAAGCATTCGCCTTAGACTGGGGCAGTGAAACGAGATGTGATGTTCAGCAACTCTTGTTTTCGCTGCTGAGAGGCTGATGTGTATCCCACACAATCTGGCAGTGCAATTGTTCAAGCTAGCCCCTCCTGACCCCTGGCTCCTGTTAATATGTGCAGCAATGGTCAAAATGAGCAGCTCCAGAAAAGATGCAGCTTCCGTATCGGCAGTGGAGTGTAACTGTTGTCAGATGTCAGTTCACCCGGCCTCTGCGGCAACAAGGCACGAGGCGCAAGACACTACAAGAAATCAAGTTGGCACCGACTCGTGGGTCAGTCTGTTCCAGAACTGATGGAAGAACGTTTGATGTTGCGGGTTCGAAACTTGCTCACTGCTAACCCTCCTGTTTCCGTTTCCCTGCAGATCCATTCCCCCGGCTCCTGGCAAAGGCCATGCCCGATGGAGTCCTTGACAAGGCCGGAGCACCTCCCCTCAGAGAAGGGCAATCTATTGATGCAACAAAAAAAAGGGGCGATTTGCAGTTGATCCCAAATCTGAGCTGAGAATTCGGGATGCAACTTCACAAGAGCGGACCTCATGAGCATTCGGCTTTGGGTTTGACTGATGTAGGAGGTAGCAGCAAGCAAGCCGTCCCGAAGTGTTGTCATCGAATGAAGGTAAAGTCCTTCTTTGCGGCTCTGACCACGGATGACAACTGGACTCCAGTTCGGGACGAGCAAGGGGAGGTGCGAGCCATACACAGGAGGAAAGGCTCTCTGGCTTTTCAGGTGACGTGATCGAGAGATGGGTTGCTAGAATAAGTGGGTTGAAAGACGCAACTCTGTTCTGTTTCAAAGCTGCCTACCCGACGATACGCGTCGTCACCAGTTTCTACTGGGTCAGAGGGCTGATAGAACCCAGGCCACTTAACTTCCTCGCACCTAGCGTCGAGATTCAGTGCGGAAGGAGGTGACCTGAAGTCCGGGAGATGGGGTCATCTGCTTTCACGAAAGGGTTCCTCGCATGGATGCAAAGCAGACACGCAGCCTCTTGCAGATGGTCTACGGTGTGCTTGCCTCTGGCATGAACAACTTGAACCTCTCATGGTGACCGCAGCTGTAGTGCAAACAGACCAGTCTTGGCAGATGCAGGAAAGGCACGTTTTCACAGCCTTTGGAAGGTACTTGAACCATTCGGACGAGCCCAACGTGGCATTCAAAGACGTTCTGACCTCGTAATTCTGCATGCTGAGCCCTTGAAGCGTGGAAGAGCTTTGCGCGACTGCTTCAGGCCGAAGAGGATGGAGGATACAACTCTTTCGTGACCAGGCGCTTGCATGCCACTGAGCCCCGCCCTCTATCCGCTGCTGTGTCTGGCTGACTTGACAAAGTGGTTGCAGTTTCCAACATGTTGCCAATGTCGGTCCCAGGATACCCCGACGTGAACGAACTGTTTGCAAACAAGACGTTTGGGAGCAAATCCCGAATGCTTAGAAACTGCGCATCCCTTCCTTGCCACCAAGAGTGCCCAAGCGTTTTTCGTGCCTGTAGAATCAGAATATTCTTGAAATTGTGAAAACATATGAACACCGTTTTGGGGATGCATCGTCTGTGAGATGGGGGGCGGAAGATGGGGGCGAGCCCAGTTCTAAGAAACAATCACATGGGCTCAAACAACTGAAACCTCTACCCACACACACACACACATCAAAAACGCCGATCAAAAGCTAATTCCTTTGGGAGTCCAACATTCGCTGCCGCAGGCGACGGATCGAAGCTGGAGAGGCCAGTTGCGGGGTGCATCAGGCTTCAGCGTTCGGAGGATAGATGATTGAGTCCTATACTCTTTCAAGCCACGTTCACTGCCTCTTACAGTGGGTCCACATGGGGCTCGGTTGCTAGCAGGGGAGCTCAAATTTGGATGACCCTTCCAGCGCATACTCTACCAAGTTGCCTGGTGAATTCTTTGGGTGTGCAGCTGGCTGGGCAAAGCCTACACCTACATTGTCAAAGTGTGAAATCCTGCGGGCAAGAGCCTTGTGAATTTGGCTAAAGCCTCGTGCATGTTGTCAACAGACGTCCGCATCACGTCTTTCCAGCTAAGCTGCCAGCCATAGCTGTTCTGTTTTGGAGTTTGGGCAAGGTGTACCTCACCTGTGTGTAAGCGAGGTGGCCATCTCTGAACAATCCATTCCTCCTGAAAGAATTTCCGATTCTTGTGTACACGACGGATCCGTAGCTAGGCGTACGCACGATGACGGGTCTAAAATTAAAGTCTGCAGAATGGCCGTGTGCAAGCGTGAAAACAAACGGCTGCTTTGGGCCTGTCACGTGTACGGTACCTCTGCTTTTTTGTCCAGCGGCGTGCAAGTTGTTCATGCCCGGAGTAGCAAGCCTTTCCCCGTCATGCAAGAACGGAGGAGCTAACCACTGACTACCGGGAGCTTGGACAGGACAGGTGTGTCTTGAAGCAACAAAGACAAAGCTGTTGCACAGTAGGATGCCCCGTGCAAAGACCAAAGCTGACATGATCTCCTGTGACGTGAGGAGTTCTATGCCTTGGTTGCTGGTAGCGGCAGATGAGCTTAGCCGCCCTGCGAGCCCCAACAAAAGGTGCCTTTGGAGAGTTCAGAAGCCCACAAGGATTATACCTTGGCAGCTCCGAAGCACAAGCCAGTTGCAATCAGCATCTGCATCGCAAAGCAGACTTTCTGAGCAGACACATGCAGCCTTTGCCATCCTTTGCCAACCAGCATGAAAACTAGAAGTGGCAGATCACCAATGTCTTCACCATAGTATTTGTTGCTGAAGTTGTGTTGCCCGCGCTCGGCCATGTCGGTCGCAGACTTGCACCGGCGCGGTGCCAAGTGCGTCACGGGAGCTTTCCACAGCGCAACATGCAGAGTGAAGTTGCACCAAGACTGGTTCACCGGGCCACACCGCGTGTAGAAGATGTAAGAGCACCTGACCGCATGGCCAGCAACTCAGCGGAGAAAGGCTGGCGGAAGGCTGCGACCTGTCTGCGCGGTAGGACTTCATCCGGCGCGAGCATGGCCACCTGCCTCTTCGAGAGGTCGTGGATGCGCCTGGCACTCAGAAGGCTCAAAAGGAGACGAGACAGGCATTTCGATAACGTGGCCATGCTGACGTAGAGATAGCATGTCCCCAAATGTACTTTGGTGGCCCAACGTGCTCGCCCAGTCTGGACGCCCTGGAGTTTTCCTTCGCTTCTTTTCTGCGGCGCTTTCGGGAGGTCACAGCAGAGGAGAGCAGTGCACGATTTACAGCTGTGAAGACCATGCATGCATGAGTCATGCAGGAGCCGCCGCAACCCGAGTTCAACGACTCAGAGGCAGCGTAACACCAACCACGGCTGCCAAACTTGTGCGGCCCGAAGAATTGTTTGCAGGCCTGCGTACTGTCCAAGGAGGAGCAGCTGAAACGCTATGCGGAAAAGCCAGCCCCTCCAGTGCGGTCCTTTGGAAAGCAGAGATGCAGCCGCACAAAGGATGAAAGTTGACCAAGTCTTTGCCCCGGCAAGTGGATTTTTTTCTGCCAAGGAAAAGTCAGATGACACTTGCGTCCACCAGCTGCTTCTCCTCAGCAAGCCAGTTCTAGGCTACGTGCTGAACCCACAGGTTTCTTGCGTTTCCGATGTCCAAAGGCATCGTCTTCTGGAGGGCTTGCATGTGGCGGCCCCAGAGCCTATTGGCATGATGCAGCTGTAAGTTGTGGAGGGGTCCGGGCTTAGGTGCTCTATCCGCGTTCGCCTCCAGACGTAGCACAGGAAGCAGCACCGCACGAGGCCGCCTAAAGACTGCTTCTCCTGGAATTTAAGCACGGGAAAATCGGCAGGAGTGGGCATCCAGCCCAGCCACAGATTGGAAGGAGGCAGGAAACGCAAGTACTGCAAGGGCTGGCACGCAACTTGTGGCAGATTAGCAAGGTTGCAGCTGACGAGAAGGCAAAGGGCAGCAATGCTTTCAAGCAGAAGGCCAGCTGGGATTGGTTGCTGCTTCAGCCTACAAGCTTTGAATGATTGGCTTGGACATGCTTCAATTGCTCGCAGGATTTTCGAAGTGCCATCAACCACTACACGCAAGCAATCAAAGTTGCTTGCCTCAGTCTCTGCTTAATGTTTTATAAGAGCCTTCCCCTGAGCGCTCCTGAGTCTGAGGCCTCGCCCAAAGAGGCGGAGTTGCATACGTAACAAGCTCAGTGAAGAGCTTGGAGTGCCTTGGATTGAATCCAGATGCCGGATGCAGGCTGTATTCCAACCGTTCAGCGGCACGCCTGCAGGCAGGACACCGATGCCAGGACATTTTTTTCCAACGATTCTTGGTTTGGGACCCCAGGTTGCCGAAGCCGAGGCGGCCCTGGCTGACGCGAGGCGAGTGACTGGCTGCCTGGCCAGGCTTTGGACGGGTCAGCAGTGGCAGGCTCTGTGTCCAGCTGGCACCATCATGGCCAAAGAGCCGTTTTCGCGAAGGGTCCCAGCCTTCCAATCTGACTCAACAACTTGCGACACATTTTTCATCTATCGGACACAGCCCCGGAATAGCGCAGAAGTAGAACAAGTTGAGCTGAGGTCAGCGTTGAGACAAGTGGGACGCTTTGACGAGGCAGGCTTCAATTCTCGTTGAGTCAGCCAGCCCAACTGGACAACCCAGAGGCCGTGGATGCGTTCATGGCTGGACAGCGGCTCGAGCCAGAGAACAAGGACTGGGAGAAGGAGGCCGGTTGACCCACAGGGTTTTGGCAGCAGTTGGCAATTGGCAGTCTTCTCCAGGTAGCACTCTAGAAACGATAAAATGCTCAACAACTTGCAGGTTGAGAAGACCCAACAAGCGCTAGAGGCCGCGGCGTGATCAGCCCACATGCCTTCGTTGAATGGCAATGGAATTATTCAGGCAACCCCAACTGCCCAAGTGCAGCAGCTGATCATGCAGCTGTTACCAGGCGAGAGCCCAAATGTTAATGCCTTACATTTCTTACCAGTAGCCAGGATGAAGAGAATAATGGACTAATGATTAATTGAGTGTCCTGCAGACATCCTCGCGACCTGGCTCCGAGCCGGCGACCCCGATGGCATCCTGCAGCTTCAGGTCTGCAATTGGGTTTTGTGATTTTGTGCACGCATATTTTGTTTTTTCCCCACCCTCACAGCGGGTTGTTAGATTTTAAAGTCAAT